CCAATATCCACCTGCTCTGGGCTGCGGAGCTTGTCTTATGATCTCCCAGTGATGAATACATCATAAGAACCAAAATAGGATGGAATCAAAGCAGAATTCATAGCCTGCAAAACTGAACTGAGGCACACATCGAAGAAAAAAAAAAACCTATAATGATGTAGGTTCCTAGATTAAGATCCAAGGCTGGACCTTGGAAGATCATCATGTCCAGGCTGGACCTTGGAAGATCATCATCAAGACAGCTCCCTGCACCAGGCAGGAAAGAGAACTGGGGTCAGGTGACCCCAGCAAGGTGACTGTCCAGTCTCCTCTTGAAGATTTCCAGGGTAGGTGATTGCACCACCTCTGGAGGGAGCCTATTCCACAGTCTGGGCACCCTGATTGTGAAGAAGTTTTTCCTAACGTTGAGCTTAAAACGGTCTTCCAAGAGTTTGTGGCCATTACTCCTGGTTTTCCCCAAGGGTGCCCTGGTGAACAGTTGCTCACCGAGCCCTTGATGTACTCCCCTGATGTAGTAGTAAGCTGCTACCAAGTCCCCTCTTGGTCTTCTGTTTTTCAGGTTGAAGAGTCCCAGGTCCCTCAGCCTTTCCTCATATAGCTTGCTATGCAAACCTCTGATCATATGTGTGGCTCTTCTCTGGACTTTCACAAGCTTTACCACGTCCTTGTTAAAGTGTGGTGCCTAGAAATGGACACAGTACTCCAGCTGGGGTCATACCAATGCTGAGCAAAGCAAAAGAATCACTTCCTTAGTTTTGATGTGTGATACTTACGTGGTGTTTCCCCTGCCAGGTATCTGGGTCCACAAAAGCAGTTCTCCTTAAGTGTTCCCAGGGATAACTGTTCTTTTGGTGTGGTTTAGTGCCCGCTGAGGTGTTAGGGCTTAAAGCCCACTTTATGGAAATGGGAGGCTTCTCCCTAGCTTGCTCCTGTGGCCATATGGCTGATGGCAGGCAAAACTTGGGGGCATCTGAACACCAAGCCTCTGAGCGTGGGCCTGCATGTAGGTTGCCTGCCAAAAGACTTCGGAAATATCTGAAGCCCCTGGTGAGGGTGGAGGATGTTTGCTGGTTGTAGAGCCACTTATGGTTCTGGATCAACTCATGGATTTGGACTTGATTTGGCTTGGAACATGAAAAATTTCCTTAAAAAAAAAAAAAAAAGGGTGCGGTGAAGAGGGGCTTTCTAGCAGTAGCATAATGAAGTGGTAGGGGGATGATCAGGCCACCAGCCCCAACCCTAGGGGATGGGGGGAGGGGGGGGGGGAAAAAAAAAAAAATCACACTAGTTGCGCTGCTAGCTTGACCACCACTACATCAGAGGCAGTGCAGCTACTGATGCAGCCACCAGGGCACTGACACCTCTGTTTCTTAGGTATCAGTTACTAATGATATAAACCAAAATGGTATTTTGAACTGAAAATTTCCAATGCTGTCCAGCAAGGAGTCCCAGCTCAGTAGCAGGCTGCCCTCACCCTGCTCTTTGAGAAAGTGTTCTCCACAAAGCTGAGGGGCAGATCAAGGAGCCTGACTGGACTCCTTCACTTTCCCCCTTACAGACACATTGGGGAGATCAGCAGGCAGAGGCTAGTGCATGTGCTGCCTGCCTTGTAGATCCTAGGGATGGTTCTTGGGACAGCTGTCACCCAGAAGCCATCAGCTTAGCAAGGACAGGGCTAAGTTTTTCCTGCCCACCTGAATTTGCTGTTGTGCTCCACACCTCTAAGTCTTGCAGTGAAGCTGCTCCAAGCTTGTCCCCAGGCAGTGATCTCCAGCAGGCCTTAGAGAAGAGGGCTTGGAAGTGTGTGCCAGGGTATGCCTGGAGCAGGTACACTTTAGCTGTGGAGCATGGCAATGCACTCAGGCAGGGTGTACTCAGCCTCATCTTCTCCAGGACCCACCGTTGCCATGGTACGGACAAACCTATCAAAGCCTCAGGACAGAGAGGAGACAAAGGCTGCAGAGCTGGCATTGCCTTGGTGGTGATCTGTATTCATACTGCAACTAGCACAAGAGGGCCAGTCCATGAAGGGGGATCCCTTAAGTCCCCCACAGGAATAGGATTGTAGGAAAGTAGGGCTGAAAGGGACCTCACAAGGTCAAGGCAGGATCTTCCCAGCCAAGCACCTGTCCAATCTGCTCTTGAAAACTTCCAAGACAAATGGCTACATAATAAACAGATGCTCTTTGCTTCCTGCATACACCCTGAGGGCAGCCTAAGTACAGAGACATCCAAAGCTTAAGGAGAGGGGGCACATCCTTCTGCTACAAAAAAGTAGACATGAAGGCAGCAATAACAAAATCTGATCCTTGTATCCCTGCCTCAGGGCAAGATGTTAAGGTGACGCCCCTCTCACATGCCACGGGTCAATAACCACTCTCACCAGCAATTATGGTTCCATCTCACTTTTTATTTAATCAAGCGCAAACTAAGCAGTAACTTCCACTCAAAACACGAAGCACAAGCTAATACTGGCAGCTAGTCTCTCTCTCTCTCTCTCTCTCTCTCTCTCTCTCACACACACACACACACACACACACACACATCTCTAGGGCACAGATCAGGGTGAGCAAACCAAACCCCTTGATGAGATAACAACCCCCTTTCTGATATCACAGGTGTTTCTTGCTCTCAGATATCTACTGCAGTGGTCTGTATAAAGTGATAGGGAGCTAGATCTTAAAGCCTGTATTTGCTGCCCTTCATGTTTTTCATGGTCTTCAGTTGTCCTTTACTTTTATCAACCCAGCAGCAGCACAGCATCCTGAAGTCTCCCTTGCTTTTCTTTAGAGGTATTCCATTTTCCCTGTAGCACTGACATGTGCAACGCATGGCCTTGAGATGGACAATAAAGCTGTCATCCAGAGACACTATTCCTTCTTTCTAATCCCCTGGCATCTGGCCCTTTTAGAACTACACCCTGCTAATTATTTTTACCTCAATAAATTGGGTAGTGTTGACCCTACACTTTTGTCCTTGTACCTGTATTTCTAAACTCTGGTGTATTGTGGGATATATTAACAATGGCAAATATGGATCCCTTGAATCTGCTTGGTGTTCCTTAATATCTTTGCTCTTACTATTGACTCTTCTGTTAGCACATTTGTCTGTGCGTAAGGGCTTGACATGGCATGCCTGAACGCATGAATAAGAATTGCTGTATTGAGCCAATCCTGAATTGTGAGATATTATCTATTATTAACTGCTCTAGAATCCTTTGGCAAACATACTGTGATTTACAGTGAAGTATCATTACTTCTTGATGTGTTGTACAATAGGTCAGTTAAAAAATACAAGCTGGATAGCAAGCAATTTGTAAAGGAGCAATCTTCCCTGTTTCACAGATTTGCACAAGATTTGGGGCAACGCAAGCAGAAATTGCATGCGGCACTTCCGTCTTCCGTGTCCTCTGGTTATTACAAATGATGCCGTCAACCAAGCCTTGCATTGCTTCTTAAGCCTAGCTGAGGAAGGTGCAAATTATTTCTTTCTCATCCTCTGCCCTGAAGGAAGCAGGCTGTTTCCACTCTTCGGTGCAGGAGCATAGGAATAGCTATTGCAGCAGGTTCTGGAAAGCTGTGCAGTGCGGGGGGGGGCAAATATTACAGACAGCTTTGATAAGAAACCAACTTTTAAATGTTTTCCAACCTTTTAAAAAGTTCAGTCATTCCTAGTTATGGATGAGGATGGAGATGCTTTTGCAGAATGCGTGGGAGTTCACGAGCAAAGCAGTAAGAGGTGTTTCAGGCAAACTAATGAACATAGTGGTAAGAAGGCTGTCAGTCAGAGTTGCAGAGCAAATTAATCCCTTGCTCTTTTAGCAAGAGAGCCACAAACCCATTACCTGTTCTGCAGTTTGGGGTAGATAGATGGTGTCACCTCTGCAATGCAGGTCTCCATTTTATTCTCACATCATTTGGCCCAACAGATGTAAAGACTTTACACACATTTTTGCTCACTGTTGATTCCTTAGTTTGTTAGGCTTCACTCAGGAGATTGAAAAACGGTGAGTCCAAGGGTCAGAGTTTCTCCATCTCTCTGTCACACCAGCCTGACTAAATACAGCCATGAGGAGTCTCTATTACCAACTCTTAAAGCTCCCTACTGTAGAGTGGTTATTAAAAAGTCAGGCATGAGATAAATCAGCAAAGCCATGCAGATACAGCTGTACAAACCTTTCTACTACCTTTCATAGATTCACCTCTGCAGCATGACTACTCCTACCCCTAACAGGACCATCGACCTCTCAGAATGACTATTTGTGGTTTGTAAAACCAGGAAAGTTTTCCTCACAACCTTTCTTGGCTTTTTTTTTTTTTCTCCTTTCGATTTTAAGATGTGGTCAGATGGGTGGTGTTTGATAATGCTCTTATCCTTTAGTATTAACCATGTACAACCTACACCCCTGCAACCATGCTTATGGCATTTAGAAAGATTTTTTTTTTGGGGGGGGGGGGGGGGGGAAATCAACAAGCCTGAAGATGGCTGTAAGCCCTGAAGTAATCGGGTAGCCATGCAAATCAGGGTCTGTGCAAAAAGAGAGCAATTTATCATTTGAAGTTACTGGAAGAATTGCCTCATAATGAAGTTCAGCCACATTCTCTTCCTACTATATAATACTCTGAGCTACCATATCTATAGGAACTCACGTACAGTGGGGATACAATTACAGTACGAGAGAGAAATCCAAGGCTATGGGGAAACAAGACACAGGGCATAGAGTTCTCATCTCAATCCATATGTAAAGAGGGAGAAACAGGGGATAAAACTCAGGTGTAGGCCATGGTAGCTTTGCTGTGAGCTTGGTTATCCCCTTGACCCTGACAAAGCCCCTTCACTCAGCCTGCCAGGTACAATTCTCTAGGATCTGGAGGCATACAAGGACCGTGCTCCAGTTGTGACTGCTAAAAGCTTCTACACCAGTCAACCCCAGGAAGAAGGAGCAGGAGTGACAGCAAAACTCCCGCTATGATTATGCTCCATATGTGAACAGGGGTTACCTTGCAGCAGCCTGGAGGGTTGGCCTGTCCACATGCTCTCACACAGCTTCTCCTCGGTTGGGTGCGATTTTCTGACTTCATTCCACCTGCAAGAGGTGGAGGGAGACTATCTTGACCAACAGACATTTTAAAACTAGTCACCATTTTTTTTTTGCATATTTTCAAAATTGTTTTTAAGTGGCACAATCTCCAAAAAGATTTTTTGATTTTGGGGTTTTCCCATTTTTTCAGTGACAAAGTACAGTACAGAGGGGGAAGAATTAGGAGTAATGGACTCCCCCTTGCTAGAAGACAGCAGTACCTCTACCTCCATTTCCCACTAAGTTTTTCATCAGCCTCCCCAGGCTCTGACCCTTTCTAAGCTGAAATGACTTAACCCACTAGACAGGTCATGTAAGAGCCACACAACTGACAGGGTACCTGTAGCCTGAAACCAACACACACAAAAATCGTATTTTCCACCTCTTCTGAGCTCAGTCAGCAGATACAGTACCTCTGCCTCCCCAGGATCTGCAGAGCACTAACCCATGCAAACATTCTCATCCTATCTGAGCTCAGACACGCTGTGGCAGCCACACCGGTAACAAGCCCTTCCTGCCAGGCTCACCTAGAGCCAATCTCCCTCCCCATCACACCCCACCTGAGAGCCATGATGCACAGCTCTCCTGGGTCAGGCCTGATTAGACTCCCTGCAGCATATTAACTCTTTCCTAATTCACTTAGCTCTTATAACCCCTACTGTAAAGAAGACATGCCATAACAGCATAGATACAGTATCTTGCTTTGATTCTAATGATATGTACTTGAGCCCTGCTTTGTATGCATGATGAAAGCTCCCTCAGTTCATCTATCTGTATATGGCTACTTGGTCACTCAGACTGGCAAGACAAAGGCAGCTGGATTTGATATTAGTCGCATCACTCCCTTATGTGACTATGACTGCAGAAACTGGTATGCCTTAGCCATGCTGGCTCAATAGGCAGCAAAGCTTGGGTGGATTTCTGCTCTTTTTGATCAAAGGAGGAAATATTGAAGGGAGGGAAGAGAAAGAGGCATTCCTTGGAGAAGGAATCGGTGGGGGGGGGGTTTGTTCTGTTTTTGTACGGTACCACACACAATAGGTTCCCCATCCAGGATTTTAATTTTGGTTTCTAGATACTGTACTGTTGTAGTATTAAAATAATTATAATGGATAAACAAAACCCCCAAAATGAAAAAGCACTGAAAAGTTGTCAGGTTTTGTTTTGTATGTCAAAACAATCTAAACATTTAAAAATGTGCACAAGTTTGTTCTGTTTTTGTACGGTACCACACACAATAGGTTCCCCATCCAGGATTTTAATTTTGGTTTCTAGATACTGTACTGTTGTAGTATTAAAATAATTATAATGGATAAACAAAACCCCCAAAATGAAAAAGCACTGAAAAGTTGTCAGGTTTTGTTTTGTATGTCAAAACAATCTAAACATTTAAAAATGTGCACAAGACATCTTGAGACATTGTTTATATATTCTTTGCAAAAACATATTCCCCATATTTCAAACAACTCCAAAACAGCTAAGCAAATAATACAAAAAAAATGCAGAGGATTCTCACTCTGATTTTTATGGGAAGTTGTTTTGTATGTGTTTATACCTTCTACTTCGCTTTCCAGGAATATTTCAGCAATCCAGTTTATACACTCAAATGTTCACAGAAAGAAAATTGTGAAGTGAGTGTCAGTATTTGTGCCAGAGGTGGTTGCCCCACTATCCAATCTGCCCCAGAGATGATATGTTTCTTATCTCACCAAATCTTAACTTTGCAACACAGTTCAAATTTAGAACATCTATGATTATCCTCAGAAATGCCAATGATTTGAAAATATGAAGTACACTGATAAAAGGGTAAATATGGGAACATGAAAGCTGTGAGCATATCAGTTTAATGTTTTTCAACAATGTTTTCCTCAAAAAAATTAATTTTGACCCACAAAACCTAAAGAGTTTTGTTGGAAAAATGTCCAGTGGACGTTTTTGACATCTTAGTATTGTCTGAAATATCTAAAACCTAATATTCTTTATTAAAAATATATGCACATGTTATTAATGCTAATAGTGAGGCTATGAGCACAGTCTCCTCAAATCTACAGAAGGAAGCAAGGCATGAGGGCTTGGAAAAGCAGAGCTGGCAGACAGACAGGCATCAGGAATAATATTGCGTTTTTTATTTTAATAAAGTTTCTTGTTTAGTGTGAAAAGAAAATGGTTTTATATTACTTTTTGCTACTATTACATGGCTATAATTATGACCTGTTTGATTCAGGGAACTTTTTTGAGGAACAAAATTGAAAAACCATCAAAATCTTTGTTAAAAAAAGGAAAATTGTTTGTTTTCCCTGAATAACTATCATAGCAATAGGCAGTGTGATGTGGCACAGGCCCTTCCCCAAAATCTATGTTTGATTAGAAACAGGAGGACCCAAACTCTTTAAGTTCCAGCTGGACTGCCCACCTATTGTGGGATGTGACTTATGGACTTTCATGTAAGAGGAAGAGCATCACTCCCAGTCAAAGCTGAGTATCTGCTGGGGACCTGAATTTCACTGAGAACAGTTGTCACTCCAAAACCAAGAGAAGAGATTGCCTGCAGATGACCTGGGTGACGTGAGGCTAGTCCTCTGCCCATGAAGGAGGGATAAGAGAAGACACTACCACTATGTGGGAAGTTTGGTTTGTTTGCAAAGAGAGAGAGAGACAGAGATGGCAACCTAAGCCAGAAACTGCAACCAAAAGATTTAATGCAGAAATCTGCTGGAATGAACCAGGACATCCAATCTAACCCAGCAGTAATAAAGATGATATTCCAGGTAAATGGAATCAGATCTCTGCCTTCAGTGGATTTTAGTGTGTGTGGGTATCACTGACTGAACAAAGGGAATAGAGAGGCCAGGCTGGGGCTACTGGCTCCAGGTAAGAAAGTCAATGTATGCAGGTGCTGGGCCTTGGGAATCTTGTGTTATTACAAGGAAATGTACACGTTGTGTAACTTACCGCTGGGCTCTGCCTCCTCGACACAGGCTGAGGGCTTGCACTGCTTAGATAAAAATACCGCTGGGTGTTGAGGTCACTTCCTCTGTCTCTTAAGGAGACTGGTGCTGATGAGGGGAAAAAGGGTTTCCCAGGTGTATGGGTAAGGACATGGGCTCCTCTCAACCAAGCCCAGGGAGCCTCCATCCAACTATATAACAAAACGCTTTGCAAATATTAACCTACTATCTGTTCCTAAACCCTATAATTTTCAAATCAGCTTGCAAGGATGCTGGAGTGGGTGGCGACAAGGCTCAGAAACATTTAATTATGTTGTAGTGTTGAGCCTAAACAAATGTGAATCTATTAATGTTCATATGAAATCTTCAGTCTCGGGGACAGGGAGTTTTCCTGATATACCTATATAACCACTTTTCTGAATCAACACTCAGCTAGTCAATCTAATAGAGAAGCTCCTCCAATTACTTGTCATACTTAGGACCAATCTACATACGAAACAAACCACTAGTTTACACTGTATTTTTATAACAAATTTAGTTAAACCAGCCCAAAGCCATGTGTGGACAGCCTTAAACTAGTTTACATCTGGCTTATATCAATTTAGCTCTATTCAGTTATGAAGCCCTTAAAAAAAAATAAACATAGATCATTTGTAAATTATGTAAGAATGAACACACCAGGATTTGCCTCCATTTAACAAAAAACAGAAGGAAACATGGCTGCTTACGCTCTCTCAGTTAATGTGGCATAACTTTTTATGCAAACAAGGCCGAAATTAACTTAATTCCCTCTATCAATGCCCAGTTTATATTATCACCCCTCTGCCATAGAATGACCATGTCAGGGCTTAGCAAGACCGCTTCCTATTGGAGGAGAAATCAGAGACACGCAATATGGATATTTCTTAATGCAAACTGTTTTACTCAATAAAAACTAGTCCTTGAACAGAGGTGATCACACTGCATGCAGATAAGCTCCTTATTCGAAACTCTCAGTCCAGAGACAGAGTACCCTGTTTTCACTGATACCACCTACAGAGATTAAGGCTGAGAACAACAAACCGCACTTGCGATTGCCACAGCTGCCCCACCAAAGAGCTGTATCACAAAGCTAACTCACAATTCCTTCAAAGACCCTCCAAGACTTCTCACCCACCAGGAGAAGGAACTTGCAAACGTAGTGCAGCAGCCCCATCAAGTTTCTCCAATGGCAGAGTTTCTCCTGCTCCATTTCAAGATAACTTTCCATTGAACGAAAAGCTTTTTGGCTTTAGGCAGTGTCACAACCTGGGAGACAGGTGTGACAGACTTACCCGATCGAGCTTCAACGCATCCAGGGGCTCATGAATCCTCAATTCTGATTGGTGGAGCCAATCCACCCATCAGCAACAAGCTGGGGAAAGTGACCATTGCTCATTTCCTGAAGGAAGGGGGAGAAGAGATCCCTGACTAGATTGTGGACTGCAGCACGGTCTACTAAAAAAAGAGCATGCTGGGCATGCTGAGAGCAGACTCGGTGAGAGAATCAAGAGGAGAGGAGCCGGGAAAAGCTGGGGAGAGCAACATCAGTGGGCAACAGGCCCCAGGTTCCAGAAGACATTGCTGGAGGAGCTGCCCTGCGAGCCACTCCACAGCGCGTGGAGCTGGGGCTTTGGGAGGCTCAAGCCTGCAACCCCAGCAGGCTGCCGAGCATCATGGTGCATGGATCGGCGCATGGAGCTCGGGCTCTGGGAGTGGCTAGAGGCAGCTCAAACCTACAGCCCTGGCAGGCTGCCAGGCATCACGGTGCATGGACTAGTGCACAGAGAGAGGCCAGAGAGCAGCTGAGGGCTGCTCAGGAAAGCTGCCCCTGGCATGAGACTGGATGGCTGGAGCCCACGACGCCACAGCTTGGTGGACCAGTGAGCCCTTGGTGCCCAAAGTGGGGTACAGGGCAACAGGAGAGCCCGATAGAAAGCCAGGAGGCCAGAGCAAGGGACACTGCAGGGTCTGGGTACTCAGGTCAGGGCACCAGGCCAGGGAAGCGCATCCAGAGGTGACGAGGAAGGAAGGCCCAGGGAGCCTCTCTTTGGGACTGAACAGATGACCCGTGGAAAGGACCGTGAGTTGCTGGGGCTCTGGGTCCCTAAGAGGGATGCCTCAGGGGCAGGGTCCCATGGGAGGGTTGAAGGTGGAAGCTACTCCTGCACAGCTGACTAGAAGGGAGAAGAGTCCCTTTTACTGTTTTGGGCAGGTCACTGGGCCCTTACGGGTTGGGGAAAGGGACCCTGGCACCCCTGCTGGGAAATTGACCCTATAGGGGATAATTTGATATATCACCCTGAAGGCCATGCCTTATTATTTTGTAGGGTATGTTGTATTGTGCTTTGTATTTTGTAATTGATAGCAAATTGTACATTAGAGTGGAAACTCCACCTTTGCTGAAGCACCCTACTTGAGGGGGTCCCTCCCTCCCCCACCCCCCAAGGCAAGGGCCGTTCCATCCACCTGGTACTTACCTGTAGCTGCCTGTTATCCAGGGGCCTGAACTACCAGAGGACTTACC